TCTGCGGGAGCTGCGGCGGACGATGCGGCCGCGCCTCCCGTTTCAGATGTCCCCGGAGGGTCTTCCGGGAACATATGTTGCTCTGGCGCTTGTGGAGGCACTCGCAAAGCAGTTGGAAACAATGCTGGAGGGGCAACTTGATCTCCTCCAACTCGAGCTTGAACTCGGCGCCGCTCTGCGCGTCGTTGCAGGCATGCCCGCGTGTGATTGCGCTGTCGCCCACGTCGGCGCACTGGTTCTGCTTCCTCTTCACTTGCAACCCTCTGTCGGCGTCCACGGCCCCGCCTCTGGGGCCGCCGGCAAGTCGCCCACCTCGCTCTTCTCGTTGATGTGCCAGGGGGTCCTAACCATGCCCCTGAACAGGGTGATGTTTCATCGTCGCTCCGCTGGTAGGGCTCGAACCGCTCGGCATTGAATAACCCCAACGCCAGTTCCAACGAGATGTTCCCCTGATACAGTACTTCTGCCCAGCCACACGCCCTCCTGCCACAGCGGGTCGAGGCTGGCCTCCACTGGATGCGGGAGCTTGCCAATGAAGCACTCCCCAAATTCCAGCATGGCCGAGTACAACCTGGCCATCTTCAGCTGCTCGTACGGCGTGCGACCTCCGCGTAGAATCTGGATCCTGTTGTACACGCAGCCGCTGTGTCGGACCGCCCCAGGCACGATGGCCGCACTGAGCTCGATCTTGACACCGTACTCCTCCTGCAAGGCTAGGAGGATGGTCCTGAGGGCCCCATTGATGATCTCCACTGCGACCTCCGCCGCGCCGTTAGACGCGTGGGAATGTACTGAGCTTCTCCTCATGGCGATGGAACCCCTTGTTCGAGCATGCCGCTCGCACTTCCTGCATGAGCGCAATGATGGCCGGCTTGCTATCGGATTGCGCCTCGGTCCGCAAGTGCCCGAGCTCCTCGAGGAAGGCCACGCACGCTCGGACGCTGCACTCGTCGGCCCCCGTGGCTCGGACCATCGCTGCGCCGATCATGCTGGATGACGTGTCCATCAGGTTGAGGATGGGCGCGCACTGGTCTTGCTGCGAGCTCGTCGTATTGGGCTCGTCAAGAAAGCCGTAGTCGAAGGCGACCACGATAAGCAAAGTCACTCGAAGCTGAGCTCGTCGCACATGAGGCTCATCTTGGGCTCGCCCCGATACACAAAACTTGCGCCAGGTTGCGAAAGGCACATGTCCACGGAACTTGTGATTCACCTGCTCTTCTGGCGATGGTGTCTCTGGACGTCGTAGTGTCTCGGCGCCCCTTCGCGCTGCGCTGCTCTCTTCACATCCAGGCGCCTCTTCACGTCCACGCCCCCGAGTTCGTGGCTGGCAAATTGGCTCGTGTCGAAAAACTGGTTCTCGATGCGTTCCAGCATAATCGCGCTGGGTGGCACGGCAGTGGGCCCCGGTGCCATCCAGCTGGACTTCCCGACGTGAATTTTGTATCCCGAGTTGTCGATGATGTCTGCGACTGCTCGGACGGGCCAGCGCGCGTTGCCGACGAGGTACTTTGCCCGCTGCTCGTATGTCTGCCCGCTCACATTCATTCTGGCGGTCGTCAAGGTCCTGCGCTCGTCGATATCAATGCGCTGCCCTGTCACCGTGACGACGTCGAGCTCGTTGCCGATCTTCCCATTGGGCGCCCCAGGCGCAAAGCTCCTGGGACACGCGTGGCAGTAGGCGCCGCTGTCCACCATCGCCCGCGCTCCAGGCTGGAGCGCCGCCACGTCCTCTGCATCTACGCCTAGAAGATCCACCCGTCCTCGGGGTCGTCCGCGTCGATCGCTGCATGGGTCCTCGTCGCTGTCGCCGACTGGGACGCAGCTCCAGCTGCAGGCGGTGGCCCCGCTGCCCCCCCTGCTAAGGCCCCAGCTGCCGAAGCAGCCTGATCCACGGCTCCAGTTTCCGTCGGTCTGGGCCGAGTCCTGCACTCCGACTTATTGTGTTCCCATTTCCAACAGTAGTTGCAATAGCTCTGGAAACGTTGAGCTTGCTGTTGTTGGCCTCCCGGCTGATCGCCACCACCATCCTTCCTGTTCTTGCCGCCCTTCGTCTTGCCCTTGTCCTTGCTGCTCTTGCCCTTGCCCTTGGAGCCCTTGCTGCCCTTCGAGCACCCCTTCGGGCTGACAGCGCCCACGTCCATAGGCGTCGCCCCGTCGGCGAAGGGCAGGCTGGTCACGTACTCCACCAGGGCGCTCCTCAGCGCGCGGTCGTTCGGGAAGGTCTGCAGCATGACCTGCTGCTTGAGATTGGCTGGACTGTTGTTCTGCAGGATGGACTGCAGGAGAGCGCCGCCCACGATCTCCGAGTACGTCTGCTCGCACCTACGAACCTCTGCCTCCAGTTTCTCCACCTCGTCCTGGAACTGGTCCGCCCTGCCACTGAATTTCGTCTTCACGATGTTGGTGAGCTGGGCCACCTGCGCCATGCCGGAAGACGGGCCCTCGCGCTTGCACAACAGACGGCAAGCTTCGATGCCATTGTGCGACTCTGTGTTCAGGAGCTGTTTCGCCGACCCATGGAGCACGCCATTCAAGATGTACATCAAGGTCCTGCTCGCCCTGTGCTCTTCCTCCGAAAGGGGCGCCAACTTGATCGGTGCGCCCACGCTCTCGCAACTCTCCATCATGCTGAAGAGCGTCTCGCTGATCGCGCCAACGTAGCTCTTCAGCGTGAACTAGAACTCCGGTCATTCCGCTTTGCTGCTGCTGTAGGGGCTTGGCTTCCCCAGGACACGAGCGTCCACTATGGGCGATGCCATGGGCCGCACCGAAGATCAGAACAATATCCCACGCTACCATGCGAGCCTCCAGGCTCGCTCAGTGGGATACGAAGGTGAATGGAAGGATGATTGACTTGGGACTTCAGCACTCTCGGCCCTGAGCCAAATATGTTACGACGCCCGCCCTTTCCTCTCTCAGTCCCAAGCTCACCAGCCCACGTTAGGCCATCAGCATGTTAGTGTACAGAATTGCGCTACCAGAGGAGGACATCAAATGTTCCCGGAGATTCTTCTGGGAGCATTACTTCAGACGCCCCCGTTGTCCCATATAGTAAGGTTGTTGCTACGCGACCCAGAGACGCCGTAGATGTTATATAGCAAAAAAACAGAACAACAAAAAACGGGCGACGCGTGTGACCCCCGAAACCACGTGAGAAACACGCATTGTAAATTTGGGGTTCTGGGAGCTAACAAAACGCCTGTCAGATTCACGCCGCGCGCGAGAACTGGACGCCACCGCGCGCCCGCGCGCGCAGTCGCGTGCTTATGTGCGCTCAGTGTCCGAGTAAGACGGAAACGACCTACTCGTCGACCGAAGTAGCCTGCGCATTTGCACGCATGCAGTTCATGCGCATGTACCCGTGCATGCGAGTGCGTGCGCGTGTATACGCATATATGTATATGAACATACATGTGAGCATTTATCTAACGCATCATTCAGTCAGTCCCCGTTGAATATTTTCCAAGGGAGACACTTGTAAACAGCGGCGAATTAATGGCAGTCGGGATCCGGGGGGGCAGGAAGGGGGCGGTCATAATTTTTGGTGAACAGGCTCTGGACATACGGGTCCATTGCACTGCAGTTAAGCTGGCCACTGGACCGATGCCACGCTCCCTGCCGCTGGAGGCTCAGCCCCCAAGCTGAGAGAACGGCCCATCCAAGGGCCGCATCGCCTGGGGCTCGGCCACCAGGGCAGGAGAACGGCCCAACGAGGGATTTTTTTTTCGTCGGCGGCGAGGCGGGGCATTCCGCACCAGCGAACACGCGGCCCCTGCAGCCGGGCTCGATTGACCAATCCAAGCTCGCGTCGGTCGGCACCCGCATGCCGCGATTGCGCTCGCATCTGAGCGCGCCAGGTCTGGGCCCACCCCTTGCGATCGACAGCAGCGCATACGCGTCGCACCATACAGTTTGCATTGGTTGCCCGAGAGGGAGCCCGTCGACCAGACGGCGCGTTTTCTGGCCCAGTCCCAGTCACGAACCCCAGCCCAAATCCCAAGACGTCTGGTTTGAATATTTAAATATATGCGTGTATATGCATATATGTGGATACCTCTGCATATCTTTGAATATGTTTGAATAGGTTGTTCGAACCAATGGGGATCTTCACTATCATAAATTTCCCAACGATATTCATACACATTTCAGGCTCTCGGACGGGGCCGGTCTTGGCCATGGCGCCGGACCTGGTCAGACGCCATCGCGGCGCAGCCCGGCAGTGCCAGACCTCATCGCCGTGGCCCCCGGCAGCGTCCGCTTCCGCAGCGCCTTCGAAGTGCCATTCGGGGCGTTCGAATTCAATCGGCGGAATTCCGCGGTTGCCCGCTGGCACAATGAATATTTCGAGCGGCGCCCCGCCGATAGTTGATGCGGCGCGGCAACGCCGGCTTGCGCGATTGCGTTGGACCCCCCGGGCGCCCCTGAAGCCGCGCACCAAAGGTCACTTTTGCCCGGGGTCACTCCTACGCGTATTCGAAATCTAACCAGGACTCCCCAGTTCGCCGACGAGGAAGAGCACCGTCGAACTCATATTCGACGACTCGGTAAACCGGATCAGAATTGGTGGATACTGGGCGCGGCCACGGGCTACACCACTTGGAAAGAGGCTGACTCTGGTTGTACAAGGGTGCGCTCGGGCACCCCCGCCGCCCTGACCGCGTCCGCGCGCGCGGGCGGCTGCAACCACCGAGGCGGAGGCAACGCGCGACCCTTTCGCCAGTGGGGGCCCCAGCAGCACAATCGCGCCCCAGTCCGCCGCTCGGCGCACAAAGTTGCGCGGCATCCAGTGGCGAACTCCGACATGGAAGAGCAGCGGCAGGCCCCGCCCGCGCCATCGCGCCTCACTGGCACGGCCCGCGCATACGTTTACATGGGGCATCCAAGCGCGGTTATGCAGAATGGCTCGTTTAACGGCGCACAGACATGACATCTGATTTGTCTCCTGCACAGCGTTGCTGGGCGCTGGGTTCGGTTTGGCGAGCGGGGCGCCAAGGCAGCGAATGCACCGGCGAGTTGGTCGCCAATTCGGCATCCTTCGGAACCGCGCGCAGCATGCAGGCCACCGGACCATCGGAGTCGCAGGTCGCAGCTATCTGCGGTTGCGCGCGCGCGGCGCCACCGACAGCCAGTTGACGGCCTTCTCGCAGCACTTCAACATCCGTTTCAACACGAGGCAGCCTTGCCTCTCCGGCGCAGAGTCTGGTGGTTTGTCAGGCCCAAGGCCCGAGCGCCTCCAGCACTGGGACCCTGCAGGCTTCTCTGCAGACCCTGGCGCCGGGGGCTCAAGGGCAAGCACACCGGGGCCAGTACGAGCTCCAGGACTCCTTCGTCCAGCCCGGCAAGGAGGAGGAGGAGGGAACCTTCGTCCAGCTCGGCAAGGGCAAGGGCCAGAGCAATGGCAGCGTCAGGATGTCCGGCACATGATCCGGCCGCGACGGGAAATCTGCCAGGCGCGACGGCCAGCGTCTGAAGTGCCACGTGCGGCTTCGACGAGCAATTTTTCGAGGATTGCACGCGGCGTCGCGGACAGCGGCCAGGCCGCGCGCTGTTCGTCGCGCCCGTGCGTTCCAGCCCTCTCGCCGACCTCGGGCTGCGCGGACCACCGCCACCACCGCCGCCACCAGCACCGACCATTGATTGACGATCGCGCGTACATGGGCAAAGACGATTAACAACCGAGCAACGACCAGCAGGACCGCGATCCACTGCATGCAGCCGACCCATGGACAGCAGAGCGCGCTCCAGCAGTGACCGCACCACGCGCAGCTTCCGCCAGGATCACGGCGTTTCGACGACTCGTTGGTACAAGTGGCCCAGCCTCAGGCTGGATATGCATCGACATATGCCTACTTTCGGGGGAGCGTAAGACCCGGGTTTGCCAGGACTCGGGTTCGCCATCGTTTTTTGACGACCGCGACTCGGATTTTGACGAGGAGGAGTTTCGTGGGATGTCTGCAGCGGGAGGCCTCGTCAAAATGCAGGCTCGGCCTCGTCATTTTTTTGACGACCTCGTCGGGGATTTCCGAGTCCCCTGTACCCGGGTCTTACGCCCCCCTGATACTTCAGGAGATGACGCAGGTCATTAAGCGATCACAAGCTGCCGACGGCGTGGAGGGCTGGGACCCCTGGGCCGCCTGACGCCCATGCTGGCGGCATTTTGGCGGTCGGCCCAAAGCCGCAAGCAAGCGGCGTCCATGTTTCGGTTATCACCGCCCACCAAACCACCCCAACCCAACCCGAAGGCTTAAATTTACCATCGATTTCCAGTTGGGGGGGGGGGTCGGGAACCATCGAAAAACACGTATGGAACCCTTGCCCCCCCCCCAACCCGAAATTCGGGTCTTCGGGTTGGGTTGGGGTGGTCTGGTAGGTAGTCAGGTTACCAGACCACAAGCTCACGAGGAGGACCTCCGCAACTAGCGCGACACCTTTCACGGTTCAGCAGTCCATTCTCGCTCCTTTCCTTTGGGTTTCTTGGGCGAGTTTCGCGCCGTCTCGAGATGCCAGAGGCGCCCTTACAAGCAGCGCGGCGAAAAGCCCAGCTGACATTACAATGAGGCTATTGTGGCAGAAGAGCTTACACAACTTCCCACATTTGCCCCGCAGTCTACCTCCTGGCCTAGTCTCGAAAATCTTCAAGAACCCTTGCGGGCAAGCTGGCAGCGATTATATTCGCGAGAGAGAACATCCCCCATTACTAATATGATTAGTACGACTACTGCGACCAGTTCGAATTCTCTTACAACGTGTTACAATTCGAAAGCGAATCCTAGTAGCCATGCTGTTCGAATGCGAGCATGAAGCTCTAAAAGCCAAAGTGCTACGAACATTGGTATTAATATTCAGATTAGTGGGAGCGCCCTCTGTGGACGCTTGGACGGCCTCTGAGCGACGACGATGACGACGACGACCATGGTGACGACGACAATAGAGCCGTAGTAGAATGCTTGCAAGGCTGGGTCGAGCCCTGATAAGATGCCGTGGGAACTGGACCGATCCAATCAGAGCTGCATCTAGCTACAGTAAGTAATTTCCACAGCTGGATTGAGCGCTAGCAGGGTTCAATTAGAGTTAGATCCAGCTGTAGGGTTCTGGTAGTGTTAGACCGAGCCTGCTAGGGCGCTAACAAGTTGAATGAATCTATAATGGTATTATATTAGAGGTTGAACATGAGTAGGATTCAAGTAGAGCTGGATCCAGCCATAGTAGGATTGCTTCAAAGTTGGATCGAGCTGGACTGCGATGCTATTAAAGTTGGGACTCAGCTCTAGTAGGATTCGATTGGAGTTTGACCGAGCATTGGCGGGATTCCAGTGGGGGGAGGGGGGAAGGGGCGGTTCGCACTCCGCTCCCCCCAGGGGGCCCCGCCCAGCTCTCAGGGCGCCCTAAGTGTTTCGGAGGGGGGGGGCTCCGACGTATTTATTTTCTTGCACAGTTGTGCTCTAGAGCTCGGACCTCTTTATTTTCGTGGTTCGTGGTTCGTGCTTCGTCGTCGTCCTCGGCTTCTCCTGGCCCTGGCCTCAGCTTCCCCTCGCCCCCCCCCTTGGCGCTGGCCCCCCTGGCCCTGGCCTCAGCCCCCCTCGCCCCGTGCTCTGGCCCCCTTGGCCCTGGCCTCAGCCTCCCTCGCCCCGGACCCTTTATTTTCGTGGTTCGTGGTTCGTCGTCGTCCTCGCCCCCCCTCCTGGCTCTGGCTTCAGCCCCCCTGGCCATGGCCCCAGCTTCCCCTCGCCCCCCCCCTGGGCTCTGGCCCTCCTGGCCCTTGCCCCAGACCCCCTCCCCTCGCCCCGTGATCTGGCCCCTTTGGCCCTGGCCTCAGCCTCCCTCGCCCCGGACCCTTCATTTTCGTGGTTCGTGGTTTGTGGTTCGTCGTCGTCCTCGTCCCCCCCCCCCTCTGGGCTCTGGCCCCCCTGGCCCTGGCCCCAGCCCCCCTCGCCCCGTCTTCGTCCTCACTCCTCCCCCCCTTGGCGGCAGCCTCCATGGCACTGGCCCCAGTTTCCTTTCGCCCCCCCCCCTTGGCTCTGGCCCCCCTGGCCCTGGCCTCGGCCCCCCTCGCCCCAGACCCTTTATTCTCTTGCACAGCTGTGCTCTAGAGCTCGGACATCTTTATTCTCGTCGTGGTTCGTGGTTCGTGGTGGTTCGTCCCCCTCGCCCCCCCCCCCTTGAGCCTGAGCCCCAGCTCCCCTGGGCCACCCACCCTTCGGAGGCGTGTTCCATCCAGGCTTCCCACGACAGCCCCCCTGGGCCGCGGACATCCTTATTTTCGTCGTGGTTCGTCGTGGTTCGTCCCCCCCGGCCCCTCCCCTGAGCCTGAGCCCCAGCTCCCCTGGGCCACCCCCCCTTGGGACCCCCCCTCCGTCCAGGCTTCCCAGGACAGCCCCCCCTGGGCCGCGGAACCCTTTCTGTTCGTCGTGGTTCGTGGCTAGTGGTGGTTCGTCCCCCTCGGCCCCTCCCCTGAGCCTGAGCCCCAGCTCCCCTTCGGAGGCTTGCTCCGTGCAGGCTTCCCAAGGCAGCCCCCCCTGGGCCGCGGACATCCTTATTTTCGTCGTGGCTCGTGGTTCGTGCTGGTTCGCCCCCCTCGGCCCCTCCCCTGAGCCTGAGCCCCGGCACCCCTGGGCCACCCCCCCTTGGGACCCCCCCTCTGTCCAGGCTTCCCAGGGCAGCCCCCCTGGGCCGCGGAACCCTTTCTGTTCGTCGTGGTCCGTGGCTCGTGGTGGTTCGTCCCCCTCGCCCCTCCCCTGAGCCTGAGCCCCAGCTCCCCTGGGCCACCCACCCTTCGGAGGCTTGCTCCGTCCAGGCTTCCCAGGACAGCCCCCCCTGGGCCGCGGGCATCCTTATTTTCGTCGTGGTTCGTGGCTCGTGGTGGTTCGTCCCCCTCGGCCCCTCCCCTGAGCCTGAGCCCCAGCTCCCCTGGGCCCCCCCCCTTCCTTGGCAGTTCCTTTGTGCAAGAGCCAGGGCACGCGTGCCACTTGTTTTACGCTGAGGGGCAATGGAAGGTCACAGGCTGCAATGGGAGTGGACAGGAGGCAATCAGTGTTAGGAGGCCACGGGAAGGCCACAGAAGGCCACAGAAGGCCACGTCGCCCCATTGATTCCAGACGCGGCAACGCGCAGAATAGTTTCATCGGAAAAGTTAGCATCGGATCCTATAGGCTAGCAGTTTAAGGAACACTTCGGAGGATGCAACACATTTGCCTCTCGGGTGTATGTTTCGGAAGCTGCGTGGCCACATGGAGCCGCATTCAGATGGTACTCGGGCTTGTTGGAGCCATTTAGGGCTACCCGAGGTTTTTCTGGAATCATCTCGGGACGAAAAGCCCCTTCCTACCTCGCGGGCCTCCTCGTCCAGACCCAGCGGCGGGAAAGGGGGCGATCCCCTCCGCGAAAAGGAGGAAAGTACGCTCGAACATTAAACTATTTGGGCCCGATGTTCCCTCCTCGTTCCCCCCTCCTCGTTCCTCCCTGTTGCCCCCTCCTCCTCTCCGATGGCGGGGCGAGGATCGACCTACTGATCGAGACGATCGACGCCCTCGAGGGGAGCGCCACCGCGATCATGGATGCGCCCTCGCCTGCGCACGCAGCAAGCGGATTCGCTGGTACGTGTGTGCTGCTCCTCGCCCCGCGGTCATCCGCTGCCTCCTCTGCTTGCACTGTTTGCTGTCACGGAATGCTACCCTCTTCGTTATTGTTTCCTCTTTCCTCTGCCTCCTCTTCCTGCTCTTCTTTCCACCTCACCCTCATTTCGCCCCTCTCCTCTGTCCCTCCCCCATCTGCATTCCTTCGCCTGTTCGCTTTCCTTTCTCCGAATCGCCTCTGTCCTCCGCATCCGTACCCCTCGTCCCTCCTCCGCCCCCCTCCACCCCTATCCTCCTCCTAGGGGGTCCCACCATGGGGTGGGTGGTGTGCCTGGTGAGGCGGGATCCAGAGTGCCCCCCGTTGCCAGGCTCCCCTTTGGCTCTGGGTGATTGGTCCCGCCGTACTTGGTTCACCACCCCTTCCAGGGGCCCCCCCGTCAGCCAGGAGTTTTCCGCGGCACACGACCAGCTGCCGCGAGGGTTCAACTCTTTGAACCTCTCGTCAGGTCCCCCGCCTGGCTGAGCGACCCTGCGCTGTTTCGGGTCCGGCTTGGAGGGCATGCGCCGTGGGCGTCTCGGTGGACCATAGTTTTGGGGTGGGAGGGCCAGTGTTTTTTTTTCCCGGGTGCTGGTTTCCAGGGTGTTCGTGGCTGCGAGAGGTAGCGCCATAGCTAGAGTTTCACTACGATTCGGTCCGTGACTCCAGGGAGATCCTCTATGCCGAGTCGTCCACTCAGCGCGCGTTCCATTATTTCCTCGTGGCAGGGGAGCGGGATCGGAGGGACTTCATAGAATATTGTACCCAAATCCCCATCAACCTTGACGTGGTGCGTGTGGCGTCAGGGGCGGGGGGGGGGCGGGGGGGGGCACACCCACGTCTCTACCAGACGGGGAATTCCAAGTCCCCATGTGCGGGACGGGGTGGGCATGGACGGATGTCATACGCTTTTCCATTTGGCGCATGCACCAGAAGCCAGCCCGTGAGCGCAGGATGGGCACCAGTGCAACCTTCTGCCAGGGACACACGAGCAACTCAACGTTGTTTGGGTGGCAGTCGACCGCAACTGCTCGCAAATGCTCGTGGCTCAGGCGAGGATCCATTTGCTTGGCAATGCACCTTTGCGAATGTGTTGCGGGCGTGGTGGCGATCTACCTCGGCTGGATGCTCATATTTGGAAGCATGGTGCTGATTTGGATCCCCCGCCCGAGATCATATGGCAGACGAGGATCAGGTCGACAGGACATTCGACACTGACAGCTTCTTGTTCAATTGAGTGCAGTTACTGTGAGTATGTTTAAATGGCGACGCGATTGCGGTAGCTGCTAGCGCCTGGATGCCCACCTTCGTCTTCTTCTCGTGCAGTTCAACATCATGAGGATGCGCAAGCTACAGGTACAGGCACGATTAACGGGAAGTTGGCATTCTATTCCAGTTGGTCCACCGGTATGTAGTTCGGACGAAACTAAAACGAATATATGTCCGTTCCGGAACGTTCTCACAGCGTCCCCGAACGCTCTGAGAAGGCCGTGGCGCCGGATAAATCCTCCAGAACCGTTGGATCTTAGAGATTCTCGATGCATCTTCATTCGATGTTATCCTCGCCCTGGCTTCTGGTGTAGTGGACTTCTTTGGCGTTGGTTTCTGTGTCCCCTCTCGGTTCCCCCTGCTCTGCTTTGATTATCTGGGCACCGTCTTCAAGCAGGGCCCCTTGTGCCCGCATGCGCCGCCCCCCCTTCCTCCTGCGCCCCTGGAGTGTCCAAGCGCATGCACTGAACAAACTAAGCATCCTCGTCTTGCTCCACCTCCTCCCCCGTCCTCCCATCCCATGCTCATCATCCATGCCCTCTGTACTTGCCCCCTGCCTCCCTTCCGTTCCTTCTCCCCCTCCTATTCCTCATCCTCTGTTTTTCCCTCCACCCCTCCGTTCGTCCCCCCTCCCCCTTTCAGTCGTTCCCCCCCCCTGCTCCGTCCTCCACAACTCTCCCATTCTGATCGTTCTCCCCGCCTCCAGCCCAAACCGCGATCCGCCAGAACAGATAGGCCATAACGCAACGGTTTCGCAACCTGTTGCGCACGCTGTCCCTCTCCAGGCCCTCGTGGCCTTGGGCGTGCAGATCTGGACCTCGTCTCCCTTCCACTTCCCCCCCCCCCTCCACCACTCCCCCTCCTCCTCCCCCTCCTCCTCCTCCTCCTCCTCCTCCTCCTCCTCCTCCTCCTCCTCCCCCTCCTCCTCCTCCTCCTCCTCCTCCTCTTTCGTCCCTCCCTCGTCGTGTTGGCCTTCGCGCCCGCCAGGACGTCCTGGACGCGCTCCCCAAGAACTTCACCGTCTGCGGCCGCGTCGTGTGCCCCCAGAAGGGCCAGTGCTGCGCCGCAGGCCGCCGCGCGGCGGCGGCGGACGACGGCTGCGGCGGCGGCCGACGAGGGCGGCAGCGAAGAAGACGAGGGGGGGGCGAGGAAGGGGAGGAGGGAGGAGGAGGAGGAGGAGGAGGAGGAGGAGGAGGAGGAGCAGAGCTGCAGGTCCTTCGGGCCAAAGGTCAATCTGTGTCGGCTGATCTTGTTTCAATACACGTGTCAGGCGGACTGTGGACGCAGTCAAAGATTTTCGAAGAGCGGTGTTCCTTGACGTCCGCCTGCAGGTGGTGCGGACATCCTTCAGGCACGATATCTCACCGACGTTACGGATGCGACGGCTTAGAGGCATGGCGTCGTGATCAAGGATGTGATGAGGTCGTGTCGATCGGTCGTGAGTTTCCAGGGAACTGCTTAGCCGACTTTGGGGTCACAGACAGTATGAGAGACGCCATGCCTCCGCCCTTGCAAGAACACGAATGTCTTCAGTGCGGTATCATAGGCTGTGGTTACCTCGGGGAAGAGATCTTCATAGACGGATCGAGAGTCAACCCAGATGTGGAGTGGATGGCGAGGGCAGGATGGGCGGTCGTTTCTCTCAAGCATTGCAGCGAGCAAGTTTCAGCGGTGGCCTACGGGCCAGTGCCAGTGCAGAGTGCGGGCTTGGCAGAGCACTACGCGTTCTACATGGCATTGTGTCTCATGGGGCCCAGGGCGATTATAATCACGGACCACAAGAACCTCCTGATAGGTCTCCGGAAGGGCCCCGAGCAGATGTGCGGAGCTTCAGAACCTTATTGGGAAGTCTGGCGGCTTATATTCTGGAAGTTGAATGACGTAGGTTCGGAAAATGTGAATCTTCAGTGGATGCCGTCGCACAAGAGTAGGACGTGGCTCAGGAATCACGATTTCTCTGGCTCCTGGTACCCTGGAAACGGGCAGGCTGATAAGTATGCGAGGTTGGGGGCTATAGAGCATCCTGTAGTTCCCCAGCTGGATCAAAGGATTCAGGCGGCCAAAAACTTCGGTAGGCAATTCACGAGGCTCCTGGCAGGCTCTCTGAAGCGTCTCAGTAGTGTAGGGTTTCCAGATGTAGATAAGGTCCCGGGAGCCACAAAGGTCACCAGGCAGATCCAGATGGTAGGCGAGGAACCCCTGTGTGTGTTAAAACTCACCACGGGAGATCGAGGCCACCTGCTGTACACAGCTGACGGCAGGTGGGGATGCAGAACTTGTGGAGTGAATGCTGCTCGTCGAAGGGCGATCATCCAGAATGAGTGTTCAGGCAAGCCGAGAGTGCTTGCGCGGACGCATGAGACTCATCGAATGTGGGGTGATCAGCTCGGATTTGCATTTCTGCACGCAGTGCGGGTGCCACGCGCGGAAGCAGGTCAAGGACTTGGCCGCGCGCTGCCTCCGCTCTGTTGGGACGGGGAAGGCTGGGGCTTTGAAGTACATGCGCCAGGGCATGGATCCCACATCCAAGAAGTTTGTGGGGCGCCCCTTCCCAGTCCATTAATTTTCCCCATCGGGCCAGTCTTTCACTGAGGGATTGCGTCCGCAGAGGCTCCAGAGGAGGAGGAGGAGGAAGAGGAGGAGGAGGAGGAGGAGGGAGAAGGAGGGAGGAGGGAGGAGGGAGGAGGGAGGAGGGAGGAGGGAGGAGGAGGAGGAAGGAGGGGGAGGAGGGAGGAGGGAGGAGGGAGGAGGAGGAGGAGGAGGAGAGGAGGAGGAGGAGGAGGAGGAGGAGGAGGGGAGGGGGAGGAGGAGGAGGAGGAGGAGGCGGAGGAGGAAAAGGGGATGGGAGGAGGGAGGGAGGAAGGATGGAGGAGGACGAGGAGGAAGGAGGGAGGGGGGAGTGAGGGAGGGAGGACGAAGCAGGAGGAATCACAGGTGCAGGAGCAGGACGAATGAGGAGGCGAGGAAGGGAGGGGGTGACAGGGGACAGGTAAGCGTGGCGTTCCGTCATTGAGAACCGAGACCCAGATTCGCAATCGTATCAGCGTTGTTGTAGAATAGAGTTCCAGACCTGGTAATTGCAAGCGAGGGAGGGAAGTAAGGGGGGTCGAAGTAAACGAGGGAGCAGGAGGGAAGATAGTGGAGGAGGCGGGGGGGGTGAAGGAGGAGGAAAAAGGAGGTGGAGAAAGGTGGAGAATAAGGAGGGAAGGAGCGGAAAGATGAGGAGGGGGGAGGAAGAGGAGGGAGGGACAGAGTGTGGGGTAGGGGGGGCGAGGAGTGATCGAAGGAAGACGGACGGACGGAGAAGTCAGGGACGGAGAATTAGTGGACGAGGGAGAGACAGGGGGGGGGGAGGGGAGGCAGCATGAGAAGCAGGGAGGAGCATGGCGACCATAATAATTCTTTACGCTTCGCGTATCCCCACCAGCCCATCTCACAGCAGCAACTCTTGCGAAGCATGCCGACAGTCGTGTTTTTCAGGCGTGTGTCCGCTTGGCCCCGCATATCTCCCCTGTTCCTCCTTCCTCTCGCCTCCTTGTACATCCTCATTGTGGGGGGAGCGGGAGAAGGACGAGGCGGAGGAGGAGGGAGAGAAAACGCTCCTCGTGGTTTGAGTCGTTTGGGGTTTCTCGTCCTGGTGTGAGTCGTTCGGGCCCTTCTTCCTGGTGTGAGTCGTTCGGGCTCTTCGTGGTGTGAGTCGTTCGGGCTCTTCGTCCTGGTGTGAGTCGTTCGGGCTTCTCGTGGTGTGAGTTGTTCGGGCCCCTCGTCCTGGTGTGAGTCGTTCGGGCCCCTCCTCCTGGTGTGACTCGTTCCGGCTCCTCGTGGTGTGAGTCGTTCGGGGCCCGCGTCCTGTGAGTCGTTCGGGCTCCTCGTGGTGTCGAGTCGTTCGGGCGTTCGGGCCCCTCCTTGTGGTGTGAGTCGTTCGGGCTCTTCGTGGTGTGAGTCGTTCGGGCCCCTCGTCCTGGTGTGAGTCGTTCGGGCTCCTCGTGGGGCCTCTTGGGGGCCTCTTGGGAGCCTCTTGGGGCCTCTTGGGGGCCTCTTGGGGGCCTCTTGGGGGCCTCTTGGGGCCTCTTGGGGGCCTCTTGGGGGCCTCTTGGGGGCCTCTTGGGGCCTCTTGGGGCCTCTTGGGGGCCTCTTGGAGGCCTCTTGGGGGCCTCTTGGGGGCCTCTTGGGGCCATCTTGGGGCCTCTTGCGACCTCCTCAGAAGCGCAAGTGAGCGCTGCCCCTTGAGAAGGACAAAATGAGCCCAAAACCTTCGTAAAATCAATGATTTTGCTATGAAGGACGATGAGCGCCCTCAGAAGCCCAAAATGGGCCCAAAACCCTAGTAAAATCAATGATTTGTGCTTCAAAGACGAGCTGAGGCACCAAACTCCCCCCCCTCCCCCTCGGGGCCAGAATCCTCGTGAAGGTCGTCGTTTTTTGGCCTTCCCAGACGTCGAAAAAGACCCCCCTGACGACCCGCGGAACTCCCTCTCCAGGTCCAGGGGGAGGGGGTAGGGGGAGGGGTAAACCCCTCCCCGAAGGGGAAGAAGGGGGTTGAGGACAGAGAGAGCTCCCTAAACCACTCACGCCCAAAGGGCTGGTGGGATTTCAAGTGCTCTTGGTCCGCTTGCTGCCCTGTGCGCCAGGCAACGGCGGCCTGTGCTGTGGGGCGTCTGCCACGTGCTGCAGGGGCAACACCACTGGCAGCGAGGTCTGCTGTGACAAGGACTGGCCTGGGCTTCGCCTCCCCCCTTTCTTCCCTATAGCCCTCCTCCCCTTCCTGCGCTTTCTCTCTCTCTCTCTCTCTCTCTCCCTGTCTCTCGCCTCCCCGCCTCGTGTCCCGTTCCCTTCCCGGTCCTCTCGTTCCCTTCCCGAACCCCTCCCCTCCCCACCCCATACGCTGCCCCCTGCCCATCCGTCGTCCGCCCTCTAATCCCCTCATGTTGCCCCTGCCCCCCCTCTTATCATTCTCACCTGCACCGTCATTACACCTTAGGCGATGCTTAAGAAAACATTTTTTTTCGGCCAGAGTCTCGATTATTCTTAACGTTTCAATGTAATTCTTAAGATTGTAATAGTTAGGTTTTTATTCAAGCTCTGAGACTATGAATTTCTTAAGCCATGATTCCTTAAGCATTTCGCAGGGTGTATGTGCGACATCATGTCCTGTACACGCTGACCGTTGTTTGGTGCAGAGGTTGTCCACGCTGCAGACAGGTCCACAACCAGGAATGTACCAGACCCATCCGCAGCAAGTTCTACACTCATCGGACACAGCAACACATGACGGTTATTGGAAAAAGGCATGGTATGAGTTGCGCCACCATTTTAGGAAGACATGAAGTTGCACGCCTCGGCCATGAGATTTGTTTGAAGCATCGCCAGGGGGACCCAGTGTCAGAGGAACCCAGGTGGGGCGGGAAGGAAAGAACGACGACGAACAAGGGGAAAGAGTATAACACGACACAGCCCAGGGAGGGGGCATGATACACGCGTTGTTTGCAGCACCCAGTGAGGCTTCGCTTGGATCCCCGTAGGACCGCGCTTCGCTGGCGCTCCCAGGGTGTCGTCCACGTCGAGCTGGATCGCGCACGGTAGGCTCATGCCTCGTCGGCGACGCTGGCGAACGCGTTCAAGATTGAACCTTGCGACGCGGAAGCACCGAGGGACATGGTAGCGCCATTGGACCCGACGGAATTCAATGTTGAGCGCTCGGGGCCGCGATCGGTTCCAGGTCGAACGATCGACGCGGTGTCGGAAACCTTTGGGGCGCGCCGACGCCGCACGAACTTACCGTATGTCGTGTTGGGGTGTCCGCGTGAAAGGGCTCGGATGGTGTTGGCAGTCTGCAAGGTGGGCGTCGGCATCGCCAGGTTGGGCTTCGAGTTTAGGTTGCACGACCCTGGGCTTGCTCTTCGGAAGGTTCCCCGTGCAGCCAGCTACCAGTGCATCTACCCCATCGTCAGGGTTCTGCGGCAGCATTCCCCCCCACCTCCCCCAAGTTGGCGCACGTGGCGACAGGTGCGCGGGTGGCAAGGGAGTCGAGCTCACGATTGGGTCCCCGTATGACCGCACCCCGTTGGAACCCCCAGGAGCCCACGAAAGTTGCGACATGTGCGCAGTTGGCCGCACCCACGGGGGGCGAGGTCTAGTTTGGGCCCCCGTGTGACAGCACTTCGCTGGACCCCCAAGGAGCTCACGAGCGTGCTGACAATTGCGCAGCTGGCAGCTCCCAAGAACGGCGAGGCCTCGGTTTGCATCCCCCCGCGCACCAAGCAGTGGCACGACATGGTAACAAAATGCGCATTGGGCATCGAATCGCCCCGTGTTGCCCCCGAGGACTTGTGTACGGGCAAGGCTACATTTTGAAACGAGCGTGCACTTGCGGCAAGAGGTCCCCATAATCCAGGCGATTATAGTAAACGTGCATGTTTTAATTGAACATATGCGACCAGAGTTTCTCCGAGGCCTACAGGAAGTGCTCCTTCAAATCAGGGGCGTCATATATCCTGGAACGCGACAAACAAGTATGCTACGCACGGGCAGTTGGAAGACAGCATCTTGTGAGCACGCAGTGCAAACTACATGCCTGCTGGATTGGGAACGCCCCTGGAGGAGGGGGGGGGTGACAGAAGGATGCACTTCATCGAAAGTTGGCGCTCCGTCCAATGTACAAGTGGGACCGAGACCATAAACGCAGAAGGCAGGAGGGGGGGGCGCTGCAAAAGTGATGGGCCGATAATTGTCCACCCTCACTACCATAGGGAGAGCGGGGAAGAAAGGAAAACGGGGAGGTATTCCTCCTCCTCCCCGTCCTCCTCCTCCTCCTCCTCCTCCTCTTCCTCGTCTTCCCCTTCCTCCTCCTCCTCCTCCTCCTCCTCCTCCTCCTCCTCCTCCCCCTCCTCCTCCCCCTGCTCGTGCTCCTCCCCCTCCTCCTCCTCCTCCTCCTCATCCTCCTCCTACCTGTGGTAGTGGTGGTGGGATGCCTGCCCAAGAAAGAGGAATGGAACAACTAGCGGAGGAGGTTGAGAAAAGAGGGAATGAACAGAGGGGACGCACCGTTCCCTCGTGAGGTCAAAGGATAGACACCCTTGGCATCGCTCGGACGTTGGTGTGTTTTCGGCCAGCGCCACAAAGGAGGGCCTTCATCATCTTGCGACGAAAAAACGCGCACGATATCGAAACATGCACGAGGAATGGTCGTCCGAGCGATGGCACGCACCAGACCGTGATGACCATTGCTGGGTGTTGCTTCTATCAGGCGAAGGAGCAGCTCCTCCCTCCTCCTCGCCCTCGGTCCTCCCCCATCCTCCACCTCCTGCTCGATTCCCCATCCGTCCTCTTCTCCTCGCCAATCCCTCCTCCCATCCTCCCTCACGCAGTTCCTACTCCTCTGCGAGTAGGCGGTTGGCCAACGAGTGTAGGCCCAGAAGTCTTTGTGTAATGAGGCAGTAGAGGAGGACGCGATCCCGTTGGGCCGCTCGGCGCACCCCACCCTGCGCCAAGTGAGGATGCCGTGTGTTGCAACGGCATCTGCTGCGCCAGGGACACCCCAGGGGGGGTGAGGGGCAGGAGCCTGGGGGAGGAGTCTATTACGATTGGACCGCACAGCGATGCAGAGCACGTCCATCGTTGGTTGACGGATGGGGTCCTGAGGGATGGGGGCCTCAGGACAGGAAGGCATCTAAGGACGGATTTAGGTGATTCGAGGCACGCACCTCGTCCTTAGGACCCCATCCCTCAGAAACCCATCGTTGAAACTCCAAATCAAAAGGAGGAGGAGAAGGAGGAAGAGGACGAGGACGAGGACGAGGACGAGGACGAGGACGAGGAGGGTGAGAGGAGGGGGAAGAGGAAGAGGAAGAGGGGGAGGAGGAGGAGGAGGAGGAGGAGGAGGAGGAGGAGGAGGAGGAGGGGAGGAGGAGGAGGAGGAGGAGGAGGGAGGAGGGGGGGAGGAGGGAGGAGGAGGAGGAGGAGAGGAGGAGGAGGAGGAGGAGGAGGAGGAGGAGGGAGGAGGAGGAGGAGAGGAGAGGAGGAGGAGGAGGGGGAGGAGGAGGAGGAGGAGGAGGAGGAGGAGGAGAGGAGGAGGGAGGAGGAGGAGGAGGAGGAGGAGGAGGAGGAGGAGGAGGAGGAGGAGGAGGAGGGAGGAGGAGGAGGAGGAGGAGGAGGAGGAGGGAGGACACTGGAGGGGGAGGGGGAGGCGGGGAGGAGGAGCAGGAGGAGGAGGAAGAAGCATCTTGACCCGGAACCGCCATCTTCAGTCTGGTGGTACCGCTTGCTAGGAGGCGTGTGCGCGGCGCTCGAGCGGCGCTGCGTTTTTTTTTTTGTGGAGGCGTCACGGCCCATCCGGGTAGGGTGTTGGACGTCAAGCTTTCGGATCGCCACGCGCGAAACCTTGTCATCGTTCGGAGGTGCACACTTTGGGGGGACGATTATTCGACTGCTTTTGTCTAGGCCTCCTAGATGGGGTCGGGGTAGATGGGGTCGGAGGATCGTGCCGCATCGCCGATGTATCGGCGATGCGGCGCGATCCTCCGACCCCATCTTCTCGGACCACATCTAGGGAGCCTCTATTTTGGATTATTTTAGAATATGGTTTGACTCTTTCATTCGTCTTCCAAAAACCCCTTGTAGGAGTACATGCCCGACGTTCCCTGGTGCCCAAGCCTTCCCCTTTCACAAGCTTGGCATCGCTCGGACGTGTGCATTTTTTTCGGCGAGCACCATCGAGAAGCATGCTGGATCATCCTACGAAGAGTACACGCGTGACATCGAAACATGCACGGGCAGTGGACGTCCGAGCGATGGCGAGGCCACACGTGAGAAAGATGGCTTTCGGCGAAAGCATGTTTTGACCTATTTGCTTGCAAGGGTCGTGTACGAAGTTTCTGGGGCACAGGGTACGGGCGGATACGGACACGAAATCGGTCGGGCGCCGATTGTCTCTCGTTGTCTCGTGTTGCCTCCCGTTGTCGCCCGTTGCCCCAGTTGTCTCTCGTTGTCTTCATGTATCTGCCCATCCATAGACGTATATCTCTACACCATGCCCAGTTGTCACCCCTATTGTACACTTGGGGCCCTATGCGTATCCCTACATCCCTACCGTAATATCCCTAGCCTTCTGTCCCAACCCTGATCGTGTTAGTCTTCGTAAAGGGTGTTGCACCCGCAATCGCATGCTTATTCGTATGTGTAGTCGTCGCACCTGTATCACCCTGGTGGTGCAAGTATCAGTGCACATGCAAGTGCTGATCATATCTAGTAACATCGTTAATGTAAGTATTAGTAGCAGCACTCATATCAGGCCGTGCTACCATTTGTCCGCATACACGATGCCCGGGGAAACGCCGTACGAGACAGTAACATACAAGAACTTTGGAGGGACGCCAACAATACACCACCACCAGCTCTGGCCAGGTCCATCCTGGGCCCTGGACCTGTGTATAGGCCTCCAGGCTTAGGCCAGGAGGGCCCTTCCGTATATGTCCTGTGTTGTGGCCCCATGTTTGAGGTTGTCGAGGGTTTTCGAATTGCAAGGGTGTTAATCGAGAAGGAACCGTCCTCCACCCTCGCACCTGGACGTGTAATTTTAAGATTGCGGAGGACGACCTATGGAGAGGAAGCATGTTGCCAAATAATTTCCAGGTGTCTAGAATATGTGTCAGAATTGTTATGAAGCATGTGTTTCAAAATGTTTCAAATATTGTTGGGAAATTGTAGGACATGTGTCCCACATATTCAACACATGTTTCATTCGATGATAGGGCTGTTAGGGTGTCCATTGCGGTGGCCTCCACAACCTTAGGCACGAGCCAGAGTTGTCCAAAGCAGCCGCCCCACATTTGTGTACTTGCCAGAACTTCATTTTTGGTGGCATGGCGAGGGTTTCGCGTCTCCACCTCCCCCCCAGCGCGCGAGGGAGTGAGGCCCCCGATCGTGCCCTCCCGACACCGCGTCAGGAGGAGAACGGAAAGAATCCCGAACCCGCGGTTTCGCGTGGGAGGTCCGCGCCAAATCGACCTAGGACACCTGGCGCGCGAAGGTGTGAGGCCTCCGGGCGGACCGTGCCTCCTGACACGGGTTCCCGGCAACAGTTGGACAGCTTCATCTCCACCGCATGGCATGGTAAAGGTTCGCGCTATAAGGCAATTCAAGTCCATAGTGTGCCTGTGTGTATGTATGTGGAAATGCACGCATACACAGATATGTATATATGTATATATATATACACACACATACATACATACATACATACATACATACATACATATATCGGAGGTGAGGGGGTGAGATCGAAGTGGAACGGAGAGCCCCCCTACCGGGAAATCGGTTTCGGTTTCGTGTTCGTGCGTGCCGTGCGTGCGGGCCAGGCGAAGCTGCGTGGGCTGGCGAGAAGAAAGTCTCCTCCGGCTGAGGCGCGGCCGGACCAAATGTTTCTTGTCCGGGGTCCGGTGGCGCACGGTGTCCCGCCGGTGTCCCGCCTCCGGCTGAGGCGCGGCCAGACCAGACCAAATGTTTCCTGTCCGGGGGCCGGTGGCGCGCGGTGTCCCGCCGGTGTCCCGTCGGTGGCTTCATGATGATGATGATAATAATAATAATAATAATGATGATAATAATAATAATAATAATATTAATAATAATAATAATAATGATGATGATGATGATGATGATGATGTCGATGATGTCGATGATGATGATGATGGTGATGGTGGTGATGATGATGGTGTCCCGTTGATGATGATGAAGATGTTGGCGATGTTGATGATGATGGCGATGGCGGTGATGATGACGGTGTCCCGATGGTGGTGATGTTGATGATGATGATATTGCTGATGATGAGGATGGTGCACCGATGATGATGATGAGGTTGATGATCCGGATGATGTTGATAATGATGGGATGATGAGATGATGATGATGATGGTGACCCGATGATGATGATAATGATGATGATGAGGTTGATGATGATGTTGTTGCTGATGATGGTGATGATGATGGTGTCCCGATGATGATGATGAGATGATGATGTCGATGATGATGACGATGATGGTGTCCCGACGATGGTGATGGTGTTGGTGATGAGGATGATGATGAGGTGATTATGATGATTTTGACGATGGTGGCCCGATGATGGTGATGCTGATGGTGATGATGATGGTGACGATGACGAGGTGTCCCGGTGATGATGATGATGATGGTGATGATGTCGTTGATGATGATGACGGTGTTCCGATGATGATGGTGATGTTGATGATGTTGTTCATGATGATTATGGTGAAATGATGATGGTGGTGGTGTTTCGATGATGATGATGGTGATGGTGTCCCGGTGCGGATGATGATGGTGACGATGATGGTGTCCCGATGATGACGGTGATGATGATATTGATGAGGATGGTGATGAGGTGATGACGATGATGGTGTCCCGATGGTGATGATGATGATGTTGATGACGTTGATGACGAGGATGTTGATGATGATGACGTTGATTGTGATATCGATTGTGATATCGATATCCGATAGTGAGAACGATAGGGGGACCGAATGTGAGATCGATAGTCAGATCGATTGTGATATCGATACTCAGATCGATTGTGAGATCGATCGGATGGAATAGGTCGAATGACATCGATCGAGCGAGATCGATCGAGCGAGACCGATCGTGAGATCGATAGTGAGATCGATAGTGAGACCGATCGAGTGAGACGTTGGTTCCTCCCCCCCGAACCTCCTTATCACCCGAAGGGTGGTCGTATAGGTGTGTATATATATATATATATACATATACATATACATATATATGTATATATATATATATATATATATATATATATATATATATGTACACATACCTGGGTACCGGGGGTGGTGCCGATATAATTATAGAAACGTTTCGGGTTTTCGTTGTAGCCCCACATGTCTGGCCTGCTGGGTGGCCTTGCTTGCGGTGCAGCCTTGTTTGGCCCAGCATGTGCAGCTCGGCGGTGGGGGGGGGCGGCGGCCCTCGTTCACCGAGCGCGTTCGATTATTCCATTCTCGCAAAGAGCCCATTTGCAAACGTCCAAACAAAAAACCGGCCCAAGCTGCGCGCCCAAGCAGCGCGCCGGCGGCGACGGAACCAGCAGCTGGTCTGCAAGCTCGCGCAGGGCCGCAGCTGTCAACACTTCGCGCTGGACGCGCCTTGTGGGGAGGCGACACCTGACCCCCAGGAGATGTTCGGCATTCTCCGCAACCACTGGTCCAAGGTCTTCCACCAGAAGGGCATGGACACATCCTTCCTGGACGGACACTTGGTTGCGGGAAGATGCGCAGCACCCAGCCGACTACACCGACCACCTGCCCGGTGCCGCGTCGTGCACTCCGGCAGGCGATTCGCAAGTCGGGGAACTCCGCGCCAGGCCGGGATGGCATCCCCTCTAATTAAGGCGTGGCGCAAGGTAGTGGACTTAGCCACCGACGCCTTCCACGATGCGTTCGAGGCGGCGATCGCCCCCACAGGGCTCGACATGGTCCAGGAGGCGTGGCACGATTTCAATGAAAGGTGTCAT